TGACCTCGGACGTATCACTTCAGGTAAACGAAACCAATGAGCTGCCGTACTCACTCTGCGTGGAGGGAAACGGCAAAGCCGGGCGAGCTGCAACGAATTAAGCTCGCATCACAGCCTAGTAGTCTATGCCCGGTAAAGGGCCGTTCGGAGGCGGTTAGCGGAAGCACGCGGTATGGACACATCACTCTTTGGCTATTTCTTCGAAGGCGAGCGCAGACATTTAACACGGGAGGCGGTCATAAGGAAGATAAAATCAATCACACATGAAGAAGGCTTCTCAGGAATTACCGGGCACTCCTTCCGAGTAGGAGGAGCCTCCCTGCGCCATGCCTTAGGAATCCCGATAAAACAGATCTGTACGTTAGGTAGATGGAAGTCGGCAGCATACAGAGTATATCTAAAAGAATACACCGAAAAAGAGATAACAGACGCTGTAGCTTTACTTAAACCACGAGTGTTGTAGGAGAAATAGACACGAAAGAATTGGGTTTTTCGCCTGCTATGGCTTTGGCTTTCATGTCATTAGAAATCCTAGTAGTGGGTCTAGCAATGGCTTACAAAACCCCTTCTTCCCTTGATTCTGTCTCAAAGATCTCTCATCATTGAAGGAGGCTCCTTTAGGGCTTGTAAAAAAGAACTAAAGCCAAAAAGGCCTCGAATGATGAGACATTCTTCTACAACCCATACACTGGGTGTCTTGAAGCCCCCGGAAAGCTTGGGACACCCTAGGGGATAAGCATCCCCGAAAATGTACAGTTAAGTGAAGGGGTGAATGGAGTGCAGTCCCAGTGGGTGTGCAAAGGGGGGGGGGGAGTGTGGTTATCATTCCCCCTCCAAGAAACTCTTGAGTGTGTGGTAGTGCACTCCAAGAATCCTTGGAGTGCACACCTTTTTGGTGTATGCAGGGGAAATCTTTTTAGCCCTTCTCAAGCCAAAATGGTGCAGGTTTCTGTGGTAATTTCCTGTGACAGGAGGTGCAAGTTGTTTTTCCTTCATCTCTTCTTCTTCTTCTAACCTGACCAGTGTGAAAAATGGCATGACTTCAGTGTAAAGAATACGGCGACTTTGGGAGATCTTTCACTTGAAAGTTCAATAATTTTTTCTAGATAACTTTGTGACTCTTATATTACTTGTTTGTTGTTTGTAGATAATACTATGTTTTTGTAATGATAGAGAAAACAACAAAATAAGTTTCTTGAGGAGACAATACGGAAGAGAAAACATTGCGTCTTTTATAGATAAATATTTGAAAGTTATTGTAACAACTTCTTATTATCGTAACTAAAGAGTGAAATTCATAACCTGGGTGACAATTCTATAACATATCTTTGATCTGTTACTTAAAGGTTAGAGTTAAATATAGAAAATAAAGAGAAATCGTAACTATAATAGACTAATCAACGAATGTAGACTCTTTTTGAGTATTTTATTTTTTAGCAGATTTTTTCGCGAGGTTTCCGGGCCTGAGTTTGACATTCAGCTGTTTTTCTGGGAGAGGAAATAAACCATGATACTCTTTCATGAGCATCTTCACACAACAAGATCAAAAAAAATGGCTCAATGAATGATTTGCTGGGAAACATGTGCGGCTGGGCTCTAACTTTGTAATCCTCTGGATTGTAGATATCTGTGTCTTCGGCTGTGAGGTCTTCATGGGGAAGGGCTCGGTCAGGATGTGAATGATCACCAAGATTCTTGACATTAAAGTACTCGTCTCCTTCGGCCAGCCAGGTTGACTACATAGATCATCAGACAAATGGCTGATGCGGAAGGAAGCTCGAGAGGTCAGTCATCCTACTCTCATGAACCCCATGCTTAAAGGCAAACAACTCATGTTTTTATTACTATCTCTGTGCAGCTTCGGTCCTTCAGGCGTTGGTTGATCTGTCTGTCAAGTATCAGCATGCGGCAGATAACGCGGCGAGTGATTGGCAAGACGAGGAAAGAGAGCCGACGGAGGATGACCGAACGAGGAAGATCGAAGTGTTCGATAAGCTGCACTCCAGCCTCCTACCATCCATCAAGCACCATCTCAGTTGTCTCGTAACTTCCCTCGATCTGGAACACCGTCCGAGCAATCATCCTACTCCCAATCTCGGCTTAACTTTGGAGACCTTATCAAGCTTGGATCACACCTTGGACCAAATTATCGTCGACTTTGGTCTCCTCAATGTACCCCTACCACCTGTTGCCCACGATCATCCCTTGGATCGATGCAAACGATTTAGATCTGACCAACTGATCAGCAACATCTCCGACCTGATTCAAGACCCCATCCGTTCTACATTCTTATATTGCTCCGATTTCATTCAATTATGGGAGCTCTCAACCGATCAACCAGAGAGCATTGGGCTTCAGACGAGCGTATCCTATTCGGCAGAAACTGTGCTTGATGGAATAACAGAAGCGACTAACTTGGTCAATAAGATCCTCCGATTCTCTCAGCTATCTGACTTGGATATCCTTCAAGAACAGTGGCAAGAGAAAGCCGAATCACTCGATGGCATACTCGAAGGTCTCACCGAACTCACCAATTCCGCAATCGGCCATCGGAGACCATTAAGTGCTGTCAGAAAAAGCATGCTCAATGAGACTCGATTGGACATCACGCTCGTCAAATTACTGAGAACTCTATACGATAAAGTATCCAAACCGACGATCAAAAAACTAGCGTTCAAATTGGATCCTGATGTCGATTCGGAGAGCTTATCGATCATGCACACAGCTCCAGAGACGACGGATGGCTCCCTTCTTATTCACCTGCACTTTTTGCTCGAGAATTTCAAGAACGATCAATCGAATGGAGAAACAGCCGATAGAAAGATTTCAAAGAGCCGGATCTCAAGGCGGGTCGAATCGATGTTACTCCCCATAGGTCTATATCTGATCCCTCTGCCTTCATCAGTCGACCATCATTCTTCACCCGCACGTGACTTCAAGGCTTGGCTAATCATGTGGCAAACACTTTGGCACACCGCGATCAATCGCTACTAGATGTTTTCTGTTCGGCCCTGATCGTAGATCTGTCGTCCAACTAGTATCTTGAAAAAGAGCAGTAAGAGGAGCAAAAAAAAAAAATACATCTTGAGCGCTCATCCATCGCTGATGATCACCAGAAGCCATCGCCAAATGATCATATGTATACGTGTCACTTGATCCTCAACCATGTTTCATATAGTACTACCCTTCACATCACTCAAGATTTATCTGCAGCGATTTTGATCTTTACTGTGATTCCCACTGCCACAATATATCAATATTTTTAGATTGACTGTATGGTGAGCTTGTACTCGATGTAGCGGGTGATGATAGTCCATTATAGTTACTGTATTCCATGATTGTGCAATTGAGACTTAGCAGGTACATGGCTATCAGTATCCTGAATTGGTATTTTCACTGCAGAGTGATCACGGCAATAGTGAGAGTCAAAGCGATCTATGATATGTACAAGGGTATTCAGAACAGCTGTTTCGATAAAGGTTGTATCTCGCAAAAAAAAAAAA